GAAGCTTGAGAAAGCGTTGGGGATAAACCTGGCAGTTCACACAGATCAGAAATCCCGTTTCTCAAAGGTGGTTGTTGCAGTCTTACCTGCTGTTGGAGAATAACCAAAAAACACCTTCACTTATTGAAGATACAGTTTGTGATCTGAGGATAAAGATGCTTTTGGGGGTGGCATGACTCAGAGCTGATTATTTGAGTTTTAATTCCACCTCAAAGCTTTGGAATGAAAACCAGCACATTTTAGTATTGTAAAATAAAAGCAGAGAAGACCCTCTAGTTCTCCCAGGAGTAACCTCTATGTGTTGCCAACCCTAGAGCACATGAAGAGCAGGCACTTTGGCTTCTGTATTTCAGGTCCTTAATGATCACCTTCTCCCATCGATTTACAGCTGCTGGCTCCAGTGGATCCTTGGACCGAAAAGGAAAGGGACTCCAGGAAGGTGGTGGAAGCAGGGAGCCCTCTTGCGATGCTGCTGAACATCTGGGACTCTAATGCTGCCAAAATTCCTCGAGGAATTACAGCTTGTGGAGGAGAAGAAACAGTTGCTGGATTCCTCCTTCAGTTCTAATATTCTGTATGTCAGTACGCCCGTTAAATTGGGAAGTGCCTTAGAAGGGGCCCCAGGAGCTGTTGCCACGCAGGTGCGCACAGTGTAGGCAAGGGCTGGTCCGCAGGCGTTTGTGTCCTCTCATGGTTAATACCTGAATCGTGTTACTGCTGGAGCCACCTCCAAGCTGGGTGGTGAGATGACCAGCAGAATAGGTGGGTGTCAGAGCTGGAGAGCTGTGATCAGGTGTTTTGATCGACACGGAGGGAAACTCCCAAGTTCAAAGCCCTTTCAGCAGTGATTTATATTTAAAGGCAGGAATCGGAATCAGCTCCACACAATAACTCTGTTTCCAACCTTGAGGACTGTTAGTAAATCCTTAATCCCTTCAAAATGACTTATTTGGTACTGTTTAGTGCTAAACAGTAAACTTTTAAATCAGAATGCTTAGCAGTGTTAAATCAGAAAGCTCATTACCTCTTTTTCAGCTGCATTATAAACTATTATCTCTTTAATGGAAGCAACTTCACTAGAGAGGATTTACCTTCCCTAAACACCTTTTTGATTGGTGTTAAATATACTTTTGCCCTTTAATTCTTCTCCAGTGAATGGAGGCTGATAAAGGAGTTGCTTTGCCTGGAGCACGTGTCAGATCAGCCAGTGGCTCGGGGCAGCCCGCTTGTGCTTGGAGCTCTGGCAGAAGGTGAAGGCTTCCTCTTACTCCTCAGCCTTACCCGGTGTTTGAAGGCTGAAAATTGAAATTGGGAATCTTATCCAAAATGTGTCAGACTTACCAGTCACCTCTCCTTGGGCTCCTGTTCGGGGTTTATCTGAACCTGCTGATGTCAATATCCGTGCAGGATGCTAGTGAACGTGTCTCTTTGGCTGTTGGGAGCACAATGAGTATGTCAGTTTGTGTTCTTCGTCTTCAGGGTGGATTTATCAGCGAGTACTTGGTACTTTCTGCTTCATTAGTATTCTGTTTCATCTCTGTTCCTTACCAAAGAGCTGGTCGTGTTTCTGAGATTTTTCTTGGTTAACAACTAAATAGCAGCAGCAACAACAAAAGAATATGTGGTTTATCATTAAATTTTCCATTCAAAGATTTTCCTTTCATCTCTAAGTTTCCTTACAGTTTCCTGCATTTAATATTTTCTGATGTGTATTCATGTTGTTGTCTGTATCCCCTTTTTTCCTTTTAGAATACGCTGTCATTTTAATTGCTGCTTTTATTTCTGCATTTTGTTGAAGGGGTTTCCAGCCAGGCTTGGCTTTTCTGACTGCAGCATCCCCGTTGTGGTTACAGCTTCTTTACGCTTCATAAACCCTGAACTCCTCGCTTTTGCTCTGATGTTTATCCACATTTCTGCTACTTGATAATTCCATTCATAGTGTTGACTTAGGAAAATGATCATTTTTTTAAGTAAAAATCTATTTTTGAGTGAATTTGGAGAAAATGAAACTGTCAAGAAGCCACAAGTCTAAAACCTGTCAATACTGAACATTTTCCTGCTCTCCATCCTTTTCATGGTGTGGCTGCAAACTGTGAGTGCGGTGGCAACGGCAGGGACATTGTAGATGTTTTGCAGAGCCCACTGATTTTACTTCTTGGAGCAGTGGAGATTTTTCTGCTGGATAATTTGATTGCCCTCTCGTTACCTAGCACTGCTGATAACACTGCCTCAAACTTGTCAGACCGTTCCTGCTCCACCGCTGAAAAGTTTGGGAAAGGTTTAAAGAGAACTGGATAAAATACGGTTGCACTTGCCAGCTGACAGCTTTTGATAAGACAGCCCAAATGCTGCTCCCTGCTTGTTTTGTTTGCCCTGTAAAGTTTTCTGCCTTTTTTATGTGCTGCTTAATTTTATGAAGCTAAAGAAGTGGTTTGTTCTGTCAGGTTTAGCTGGGTGGGAAGCCTGAGGAGCAGCTCAGGTGAACATCTTCGGTGCCTTTTGTCCTTCTTGTGTTTAACAAACTATTCTGGATGTTGTAAACGGTGTTTGTATTGCTCTGAAAGTGGAAAAGGTGGTTGGGAGAGGGGTTCAGAGGGAATCCATTTGGGTGATTGGCAGCAACCAGGATAATGTAGAGGCCAGTGCTGCAGCTGGGAAGGTGCTGCCTTGGCGGGAGGCTCAAACTGCCTCGTACCCTACGATTTCTGCAAGGGAACGGTGAAGCAAATACTCTGTGTCTGCTCAGATGGGTCAAGCAGCCTCCAGCACCTGTCCCAGCCTCTTTCCACCTCACTCCCCCTCTCTATATTTACCCAGGGGGAACTTTCCAAGAATGGAAGTGGTAAGATAAAACCCTTCAGGGGCTAAAATTAGTCTAAGCACCCTGTCCCTTCTCCCCGCGGTGGCATTTCAGCTGTGAGCTTGACAGCCTCTGTTGTGCCGGTCACACAGAGTGGACCTCCAGCCCCAACACATCAAGATCCTCCCTTTTTCTCTTTTTTGTTTAAACCGAGGGAGAACTTGCCATGGGACTGCCACTGCCTCTCCTGCCTTGGCTGTGAGCGTCACCTACCTCCCAGAGGTAAGGAAGGCATCATCATAATGACACCTAGGTAGCGTTGGGCAGTTGAAGGTAACTTGGTAACCAGTTGTAAAAGCATGCGTGTGTTCTCTGTCACCTTTAGCTCTGCAGATGCATGGACAGCTTCCTTCAGCTCAGGAGGTGACAACTCTGGTTTGGGCTCAAGGAACATCTGTGAGCTCCTCACGTGAGTGCTTATGCTGTCAAAGGAATGTCCCTTTGGAGATGCTTATTTGTGTGTTAGGAAATGTTACAACTGGTTTCTTGGGGTTTTTTTTTGGCTTTTCTGGATTATTTCCTTTGGGAATATAACTGGACCTTCTTTTTGAATTGAATCTAAAATGACCTCCCCCACCCCATTAGCCATGTAGGTAGGGGGTTTCCAAAGCTCCAGAGCTTGTTATCAGTGTGTCTGATACATAACAGTAATGTTGTAATTTCACATATTTCTGTATCAATTGTCTGGGATAGTGTAACAGGTGATTTTTATTTTTTTTTGCCATCACTCGCTGCCATCAAATTTGCTCTACTTGCCCAAGATGTGAAGCTGAGCAGATGGCCTCATGCAGGGAATTCCTCCGAGCTTGCACGTCTTGCCACCGCAGGCGGATGTGGGACAAGCCTTCCGTGACTGCTGTGTTACCCTCAGGCTCGTATGCAGAAAGAGGCTAATTGCTTGGTGCAGCTCCTTGCCTCCTCCAAGGGAGGATCAGAAGAACGGCCTGAGAGAGACCAAACTCTGCCACCACTGCCTCTCCCCGAGAAATTCTGTGATGCTAGGGGATTGTGACGTAACAAGAAATTCCTCTGCCCTTCCCGGCGGGTGCCATTTCCCAGCTGCTCAGGTGCCGGCCGAGGCATTGCATTCCTCTCCCCTGCTGCTGCTCAGCCACGGTGAGGCCAGATCTTGCACTGAGTGCCTGGCAAACGCCTTGGGGTTTGGTCCTAGCTGCAGTGTGATCAGCTCAGCATCCCCTCGCCTTCCTCCCTCCACCCTGTACCCCCTGCTATAAAAATCCCACATCCTCCTTGTAGCCGCGCTCCTCAAGCTCAAGTAAGCAGGAGAGAGGAGAGGGTTTGCTGAATTCAAACACTGATACTGGTTTTGGGAAGGGCGATGCTGAAAGCCCTTAATCAAACCAGCCACCTTCACATTTACTTCATCTTCTTTCTCAAAATCCAGTGCCTTTAAAAGTGGCAGGGTGTAAAAACTGTGCCATGCTGCTGGTTCCTAAATTAAAACCCCTCCAAATTTTCTGTGGGTCCCAAAATACTTGGAAGTGCAGGTGGTGCTGAGGGTTCCAACAGCAGCCTTGGCCGATACGAAGCAGAGGTGACTCCAGCTGTTTTCCAGTGTGCAGCCCCGAGAGAACAGCTGGATGGGGTGACTTTGGGGAAACTGGGTGGCTTCATCTACCAGTGGGGTGCAGAGTCCTCGCAAGAGCCTGTGGCTACCCAGGAACTTTCCTGGGCTCAAGGTCTGAGTGTCCCATGTGTAGTCCCATACTCTTTACCAGCTCAGGGGCTAGCAGTACGGCATTAAATAGTTTTAAAAAATAAATTAAAAGCCTTTGAGCTCTGCCATGCAGTGTTTGAACTCCAGCGCTAGATTCTTGATCACAACATTTTAAGGGGAAGTGGCCCACGTATGTGCTACAGCAAGAACCTCCGTCTTTGCCTTAGCCCTTCACCAGCAGTGAAGCATGTCAGAAGCATCGTAATCCAGTGTTATTTGTTCTTTTTTCTTTTCTTTGAGAGTCTTCCTTGAATTGTGTATAAAAAAAATTTAAAAAATACAAAGATTATAGTGGTGTCAGGGAGCTGGTTCTAATGCTGTGGTGGTGTTTTTGTTGTCCCGTAGATCTTCGGCTTTACCGTTTACGACGAAAGTGGTACCTGGGTGACAGACCAGAAAACAATGAGCCTACTGGATCTCACTAAAATGTTCTCCATGCTCCAGCCCAGAGAAGATGAAGAAGACAACGGAGAAAGTGAGGAGCTGAACCGAGCAGTATCCAAGGATGATTACCAAACCCTCGATAACCTCTTGTCCCAAGACAGGTACAAGAGGTTCATCAACTGCCAGAGCGGCTGGGGTATACCCAGCACCCCCCTGCGCCTGGCCGCCACCTGGGGCTGTCTCAGGAGCATGAAGGTCCTCTTGGCCCACGGGGCGGAAGTGGACAGCCTGGACGTGAAGGCTCAAACCCCACTCTTCATGGCGGTCAGCAACGGCCACTGGGAGTGCGTGAAGGTTCTCCTGGAGGCAGGGGCCAATCCCTCCGGCAGCATCTACAACAACTGCTCGCCGCTGCTCATCGCCGCAAGGGATGGGGACGTGGACATCCTGCGGCAGCTCCTGGACCACGGTGCAGAAACCAACGTTCAAGCGCGGCTGCCTGAATGGGCTACCAACTCAGCGACTTGTTCTGGTCCCCTCTACCTCGCTGCCGTGTATGGGCACCTGGAGTGCTTTAAGATGCTCTTGCTCTACGGCGCTGATCCTGACTATAACTGCACCGAGGAGAGGGTGATCGCCCAGATCAAGGAGCCCAAGTCTCTGCTGGAAATCTGCCTGAGGCACGGCTGCAGGCCTGAGTTCATCAAGCTGCTCATTGACTTTGGAGCCAACGTGCACTTGCCCAACGTCGTGGTAGATGAGATAGCACCTCGCAGTGAAGGCCTGGAGCTGCTGTTGCAGGCAAGAGGTAATCCACGTGCATGGCCCCGGGGCTGGAAACGGGCATGAATTTTATTCATTTGGATGCAAGTTGCTTCAGATTCTCCTTCCCTTTACCTCTGCTTCCCCATAGCTTCAACCCAGGCTTTCCTACAAGCTTTGACTCCCTTTGCACCATCAGTTGAGCGCATGGATCTCTCTGGTCTTAAACTCTTTAATATTATCACTATTTTACTCTGAACTCTTATTTTTCTCTCTCCCCGAATGATTACTGTCTTCAGGCCAGACAAAACATGTCTACAGTACTGAACACAGCAAGAGAAGAACATCATGGGTTTATGGAGAATAGGTCCACCACCGGTGATTAAATCTGATGGCTTGGGTACCCATGCTGCCACAGGGAACTCCTAGAACAGATAGCTGGGATTTGGGGGAGAGTGTCACGGAACAGCTTGTTTCTAATAAATGTCCAGCAAACATCCCCAATTTCCAGTGCTGCCCGTGGCTGGAGGCAGGCTGCCTTGGTTTGGGTCTGGGCTGTGACTCGGTGAGGCCACCACCTACATTTATGTGGTTCTCTTTCCTCTTGGACTCACCACAGCATCTGCTTTTTGTGAATATTTCTAGACACTGGCTAAAGAAGCTGCCTTCAGTGAGGGTTGGGGCTGGTCTGGAGCACACAGGGCTTTCTGCATCCTGTTTTTTCCACTTAATATAAATCCCTTGGGTTGAAGGTTGCTTTTTGCCATTCTTCTTCTTCCTGCTGCTCAACTTTGGCTCTCCTGTGCAGGAAAACTGCACTTATTTCTGTCTGACAGTGGGAGATCTCACCTCTGTACACCCAGCTCCTGTGAAACGCGTGCTGCAGAGCTGGTGGCTGAACATGTGGCGCAACCAGCCCTGGCAAAGATGTTTCGTTTTGCTCTGTCGATGTCTGTTTGCTTGGGATAGCGCTTGGGTTGGAGGTGGGCGGGCTTGTGTGTCTTGAAGGTGACCATCTCGTTTCTCTTCCTTCTCCTTACGCAGCTCATCCCAAGTCCTTGATGTCTCAGTCCAGGCTGGCAATAAGGCGTCTCCTGAAGCAAGCTGGTCACCTGCACCGCCTCAGCGAGCTGGAGATCCCGACAGTCCTCATAAACTACCTCCAACACCATGAGTGATACCTGCCCCAGCTGAGCTGAGCACCTGAATTAAAAGCTGCTGTGGCACCTGCATGGTGTGAAACCACCGCCAATGCCTGGTCACAAATAATTTTTGCTTACGAGGTGTTTCCAAAAAGCAAGGACCCGTGTGAAAAGATGGTGAGGGAAGAGGGGGAGCAGCAGGGTCTGGCTTTAACCCCTCGTTACTGAGGGATTTTACCTCTTTAAGGGATTCTGGTTGAAGGGGCTGGGAAAAGGTGCAGAGGGAGAGGGGCAAAGGCTGATTTACCCAGGACCCTGGGGACACCTGTGTGCAAAGCCCGGGCAGGGGCTAGGTCAGGACCCAGAGGGAACCCTCTTCAGCCTCCTGCCTGTCCTCTCCCACCCCAGCTTTCTCTTTAACCATCAT